TTTAGTCACTTTGAAGATTCCTTGAGATCATAGTGAGCACTCACTCCATTTTGAAACAGAATGAGTCAGCATCTACAATCCCCAGGGATAGGATAAAGCATAAACTGTGCCACCCTAAGACTGTGGTAGACTTATAACAAGAGACGGTAGTTCGCTTACTATCCGCAAATCATATGGAATCGGAAGGCTCAGCAAACGTCTAGTCTACATTTCTGCCCAGGACACTTAAAAGTCACTTCAACAACCGAACCGCCAACGCTGCTTTTGCTAAAAACAATGTCATCTCTACTAAATATGTCTGCTGACGTTTTTTCAACTGGAATAAAAGGCGAAAGGAGGCGTGACCAATAAGCAGCAAATAACGGCATTGAAAAAATGAAGGACCTCTGAATGAGATTAGGAAAATTCAATCAAATTAATTAAAAATCTTCTTGGTCAGTCAGCTATTCGGGCGACTTAACTACTAACAAGAATTGCGAGGCTAAAATAAGTAACAACTCAGATGCTACCAAAGTAACAACTGAATTGATAGTAACCTGACCGACTTTCGACATGAAAATCAATGAAATTATTTTATTAGCCTATCGGACTGTGTCACCGGTGAAAGTTTCTACGCAGATGATGACAATGGAATTTACGTCCCCAGTCACTTGCTTGAACATCACCAGGAAACGTCCTATGTAATACTGCAGAACTAATACATTATGTTATGCTCGATCAGGATAAGAAAATTTCCGACCATTTGTCTGAGCATTACCTCTCAGCCTCCAGGCTCGGATGGGTAAGCTGTCATGTTACAGATGACCACAGAAATGAATATTCAGGTGTGAGAAATCGTTACTTTTAAGTAACTGTGGTGGCCCTCACGCAGACTAGGAAATTCCACTCAAAAAGCTTCCGGGATATTATACGAAAATATATCATTAGAATTATCTCTGACCTTATATCCTATTTAAAATATGACGTTCTGGGTGGAATGAGGGAAAGTTAGAATTCCGACTAGCCTGAGGTCTTCCTCAGAAAATAGAGAAGAGAGAATGGAGGAAGTGGACCTGTAGCCACTAATTGAATGGAGCGACTATATCACATAAACACGCACGTGCCCTATTTTACCTTTTTGACAACCTCATCTAAATAACCGAAGGAATGTCCAGAGGGCAATTTAGACGTAATCGAAGAGGGAAAATTAGTAAGTTGATAGTTGCTATGCCAAAATCTGTTGGTAGTGTCTTTTAAGGTTTACATAGCGCTTAAGTAAAGTTTATTGTTCTATAGAAATAAATAATCTGCCTCTGAACACCCCTATTCGGCGGGAGGATGGAAAGGGAGCTAAATAGAAAGTAGGCGCAATGAAAGGAACAGTCGTAGTTGTAAACCCCATAGTATTTGCTGAAAATAAGAGGCAACTTAGTAATATGAATTGATATAAACTTTTGATATTTCCTCTCAGTATCATCTGAAAATGGAAGTTGTCTCGCGTGCCCCAAGACGTTTTACGGGTGCATTCTCGGTTGAATGAATATGAGGAACACACTTGGGGACCCCAAAGACATCAGTGGCAACACAGTATCATACAGTCGCCAAAAATTGAACTGGTGTTCACACCGGAATCTTCCGAATACAACAGATTATGGGATGGTGCAGGACAATTTATTTAGTGCAACTTCTTTCATTTCTGTTTACGGTACTAGACGTGTTCCCAACCAACCTGTCACTTGTTTTCCCCCTGAGCAGATGGAATGCCAGGACAGGCCTTTAAGGATTTATCCTTAGAGCTGGTGACCACACTTTCGTCCACTTCTAAGACGTAAGTGTGAACAGGCTGCTTCTTATCGCCCTGGATAACAAACGACCTAATCCCTTGTAGAACGGAGTTAAGCAAATGTTTGCTAAGGCCTTTCGACTAATAAGTTTTACCTACCTCTTTTTCAGGACGAAATATGTTCTTGTATGAAAGCCACTTGGATGGTCGCGACAATTGGGGTGTTCATATAACACCAGCAATTGACAAAATTCTGGAAAAATTATTTGCAACCTGATGTTAAGCTATATGAAAAGTGCCTTTTACCTCAAACTTTATGCCAATAACACCCTCTCACGCTCCCTGGTTTTATTTCCAACAACAGAAAACATGAAGACGCGATAATCGCAAAACGTTCCGACCTGGAAACACCTTCAGCAGAGTGCCCGCAAAAACTAGTGAGCGAGCCAAGAAACCACTGAGTGGGCCAATTCATTTACTTTTTTTCAAATTCTACCTTACTATTGATAACGAGTAGAACAGGTTAAGAATGGTTTCTGGACCATCGCCTACTATTAGTGGAATATGTAAATGTGCCATACTGCGTTACGTTCTTTAGAAAACCCCTGTCTATCCGTATCAACACCAGCAGAAGCCTTTTATATGTAGTCGGCTTAGAACTCGCGTTTGAATATGACTAGAATACAGCAGTTACTATGCATATAATGATCGAAACAGAATAAGGCAAACTTGACCAGTGGAGTAATCAATGACGAATGCCATTTCCCAATCTTCGTTCTAGTGGACTCCCACATATATCCTTTGAAGATTGCGGAGAAGGATGTATTATTGACAAAGGCCGCACAGTTGCGCTATACGAATACACTTGACGTATCCTCCCACGCTCATTAGACTTCCCTCGAAAATTACACGATTGGGAGCATCTATATGTGAAAATGTCAACGTTAACATGCTTAAGATTCAGCTGTACAAAACCTACGTTTTAACACTTGTAGACTGATGTTCTATCTCCCTTGGCAAAAACGTCATCAGGGAGCCCAAAGAAACAAGAAGGAACCCGGAAAGGCTTTATTGTGCCCTAAAGTAAACGTAATAGCTTCGGTGGTTTTTATATCTGCGCTCCGACAAAATGTAGACTTTCATGACCTAGTTAGTAGAGTGGAAGCAAAGAAGGCCATAGCTGCAGAACACCGCGCACTAAAACTCCGATCAAACATCCCAATTCTTTCAGACGCAAATTAACAGTCGTCAAAATCAGGACGCCAAATTATGATCGCCGTCTCAGGAAAAGGGACAACAAATGATAACAACAATTGCAAATCTATTCAGTAATCACTTTTCAACCAACTACACCGTCGAGGAATAGCCAATCCCGCAACCAACCGAACTAACAGTACGTACACTTGGTGACATCTGTTAAGTGAAGCAACAGTCAAAACAAGCATTGAACAACATCGTAACTCCGCCTCTTATGGAACACATAAAACCCCACCATGCCTCAACCCGCATACATGAGCATCAGTTGGCGGAAAGGAGACAAGATCATCTGTCCCAGGTGACAACGCACACGCTGGACACTGGACACAAATCTGCATGGGAGAACACTCGTATTGTTGGCGCCTGCCCCAAAAGGAAAGACTGCGAATTCCTGGAAGCAATGAACTCAAATGAGGCATGCATCAATCGGCACACCGATTTAGATGCCACATACGAATTTCTCGAGGACAAATGGAATAGAGCGCAACCAATGACAAGGAGATGGCGTAAGATCATTCACGCGCATTGACGCAGACTTCTTCCAACCACGGAATCACTTGTTCGATACGGTTAAATAGTTAACTGTTTTTGTACATAACCCAGAAGTCTGACGACGGGCTGGGGAACCAGCCTCGAGAATTTACGCAATAAATATTATTTTTTCTCAAAGAATCTTACCTATTTCCAATTAAATTTCTTCGGATGCCCGTTTTCCAATAAATATTCATATACTTAAAAATTGGCATTCTAACTAAAACTTTTTTTATTTATAGACGACCTACAACTCGTATATGCACGTAACGAGCATGCAATATCCGGTATGCGTAGAGCAATCGCGGTAGATCCTAAAAAGCTTAATGAGTGGCAAATTTCCCCATTGAATACACGAATGATTCAAATTTTTAAAATGAACGCCTAATCTCCCCTAGATTACTGCTCAGTAGTCTTTGACATCATATCATTAGATGACTGAAAAAGAGACTAGAAGGTCGTTTACTAGATATTTGACTAAACACAACGGCTTCCAGGACTCCTAGATAAAATTGCACAGTAAATTTAGTGCTAAACCCCCTGAATCAGGAGATTCCAAAACTGTCTCCATTTCACATTCAGTCACATAGGACTCGGATATTCTCAAAATGAACGTGCTACCAAACCATAATGGTACCTATAACAATAAACATGAAGATAGCATATGAACTCCCAAATCCAGAAAGACAAAGCGAGCAAACTTACTTTCCGAGTAATATTCAAAATAAATACCATGAAATTTCAGTTCACTTCAGTTCATTATTATTGAGGGAAATTTAGGCCTTCACCTTTGAACTCCGTATTTGTTTACAAGCAACTGCAAAATCTCAAAAACTGGAAAAGGTATCATAAAGGTAACAAATAATCGGAAAAGCGTCAGCTCTGTACAGACAAACAAACTGTTTCGAATGTTAGTGGTACGATCAGTTGTACAGCGGTCGTTTCGAAATAAATAATATATCCGCTGACAAAAGTTTCATAGGTGCATGTCAGTAAGCGTAGGCGATGGGTTGGAGACAATAAATGTTGCTGAAATATTGCAAATAGTATTATAACAACGGTATCTGTTAAGGTTGCAGAGGCCGGGTAGTTATTTAGTGGACACTGCTATACAAATGTAGCTTCCTCTTGAAGACCTCGACGGAAGCAGACATAACTAAATCAACAGGCAGGGCGTTCCAAGCTTATAACATTCTGTTAGAGAAGGAGAGCTTTCGTGTGTACAGCCTGGCCCCTGTCACAGGTGGTTTGAATGGATGGCCTCGTAGTTTTGTGGTGGTTGCTAACTCGAAGAAGTCCCCGGTACAAGGCTGCAGTCCTGACCGCGTATACTACGGAAGGCTTGTATCAGGTCACCCCGTAACTGCCTGTAACTCAAGGGAAAGAGATCAATGTTCGCTAATCGCGTTGCATATGGTAGTGAATCCTGTCCTGCCACAAGTTTCGTTACATGCCTTTGAACCCTTTCGAGGATGCTGAGTTCCTTCGCGGTCCAGAGTCTTCAAGCTTGGATAGCAAATTCCATTTGCGACCGCACAAACGTTCGAAAGACTTTAGCGAAACAGTCTTCATCAAAGGCGAAGAAAGCCTCCTTCACAAGGTAGAGAACTGACATTGCAGACTTGGCTATCTTCGTGCAGCGAGGGTTTTAACGAGGTCGTAATTCATACTCCCAAGTCCTTCTGCGAGTCCACATCTTGCAGTTGTATACCATTCAGGCAGTAGGCCATATGGTTCGAAGAGCGAGCTATGCCCACTCGTAGAATATTGCATTTTTTCTTCCTGAACAGCAGAAGCCAGTCCTTTGACCACTGTTGGAGTCGGTTTAGGTTCGCCTGCAAATGCTCTTCGTCATCTGCAGTTCGAATGACGCTCCAGAGCTTAATGTCATCCGCAAACATGGCGACACTACAATCCAGTTCACTCACGCAATCGCTGACGTAAATAATGAACAAAGTAGGACCAAGAACTGAGCCTTGGGAAACCCCGTTTTCAACGGCAACCTCCGTCGACTGCTGGTCACCGACATGGACAGTTTGACAACGGTCTAATAGGAAGCTTTGAATCCATTTTAAGAGGTTACGCCTAACGCCTGTTCGGCTCACTTTGCGCAGGAGTCGCTGATGGGGAACATTATCAAATGCCTTTTTAAACTCGATATAGACTACATTCAGCTCATTGTCTTCATGAACTGACCGAGTCCAACGTTCCAAAGAGTTGAGCAAGTTAGTCACGCAAGACCTGCCACCACGAAACTCATGCTACTTATCAGATAATAAATTATGCTGCTCTAGGAAGCGCATTAGCTCTCGCTTAATTATTTTATCCATGATTTTGCAGCAGATGGAGGTGAGGCTGATTGGTCTGGAATTGTTTGCAGAGGCCTTGTCGCCTCCTTTACACAGTAGTGTGATCTGCGCAGATTTCCAGTCGACAGGCAAGCAGTCGGCTTCGAACGAGGCTTGAAAAGGCATGGACAATGGTTCAGCTAGTTCGTCAGCGAGCTGCTTCAGTAACGTAGGCGGTATGTCGTCTGGACCTGGGGATTTCGACTCATTTAGCGTCATTAGCCCTTTACGAACCGCCGCTTTATTAAAAGATACAGATTCAATTTTTGGACCCTCATCGAAGTTGTAGTCGGGAGGAGTAAATGCACTTTCACTAGTAAAGATGGATTTGAAAAAAATGTGAAAAATGTTCAACTTTTTCTCCATCCTCACTAATCTCTACGTATCCGCTTTTCTTCAGGAGGGGGCTTTGATCTCCGATTCGTGTGATGCTTCTTATGTAGCTGTAGAATAATTTCGGATTTTCCACAACACGATTCAATAGGTCTTTTTGAAAATTTTGTCCTGTCCAGCTGGTAAGTCGCTTAGCTAGGTTTCTCTGTGTTTTGTATGCGTTTGTGAATGCGGGATTCCCATCAGTAAGAGATTTCTGCCACAATCTCCGTTTTTTATTTATTTCCTTTTTTAGCACCTGGGTCAACCACCGGGGTCGACTGTTTAGCCCCTTCCGTGAAAGCGGGCAGTGGTTTGTCAGGAGAACATGCAACGATTCACTGAACCATTTCCAATACTCCGCTATATTTCCGGAAAAGGCTGATTCACAGTCTGTATTGTTGATTTTGGCCTTCATTTGATCAAAGTCCTGACGCCAAATATTTTTTCTAATTTTGGTGGGCTGTTCAGGCACGGAAAAGATTGAATAGTCTCATTGAAGAACGACGTGATCGCCTCGACCTAACGGAGGCAGACATTGCATCTCATCTATGCTGTCCATCGACTTCATGAGCACCAGGTCCAAGCAGTTTGACTGCTGCCCCTCACGCACCTTCGTGGGAAATAGGACGTGCTGAGTGAGAAATGCCCTGAGTGCCATGTCCAAGAGGAGTCAGTCGAAAGCTAGTTCTGGGCCGCGAGCGTATGGTGAACTCCAGTCGATGAGCAGTGCATTAAGGTCGCCCATGATTAGGACGTCAGGCCGGAGAGCAAATCGTCCTAGCTCCTCTAGCAGACGAGCGTCAGCCTCGGGGTCACTCCTCGGTGGTCGATAGACGGCCAGAACTTTAAGGTTATGTGATCCTGGTACTTTTATAGGGGGCCAGATAGTCTCGGCGCTGAATGCAAACTGTTTTGTTTTTTCTAACATAGCCATGCCGTGTTTTACGTACGTGACGACTCCTCTCCCCTGACGCTGTCTCCTGTGTCTTCGAAACAACTGAAATCCTGGTAGCATTAATTCGCGGTCATCCACATTTTCAGACAGTCAGGTTTCTGTCAACGAGACATCGTCAGCGGAAAGGTCACACATGTGGATCTTCAGTTCGTCTAACTTGGGCAGTATAATCTGCACGTTGGTTTAAAAAATGTTAGTCTCAGAGTTTTGGGGCGTTTGATTATGGTGCCGCTTGAGATCCCATTTAAGGAACCTATTGTGCCCTCATTCGGATCGGTTCCGTCCAACGCATTAGGGGGGGCGCTGCACTATCTGGTCGTTGTAGATCGCGAGATCCTTCTCGCCATTCTGCAACCTTATTCTCAGTTCCAGAACTAATTGTCGACGCTTTATTCTCTCTGACGGTGTGTAGTCCGGGGGAAAAAACGTCGTGGTTGATGTCTTTGTTTCGGAATCGTCTTGAGAGAATAATTCCAACTTGTTCTTGGTTGGCTAACACAATCTTGAATGGTCGGGGACGTGAATGCTCTGATATGTCGATTAAGCGCTTTCCAAGCCTAAAGGCCTTGAGAACCGAAACTTCCTCAATGGGGCGCAGAAGTTCGTTAAGTAGGCATTGGAAGAGTTGCAGGTCTGCCGAGACTCGCTCTTTGGAGGCACTAGCCGTGGATTCGGGAAGTCCCTGATTGATCCGACATTGCCCTCTGAGCGGCGACTCTCCCGAGAACACAGTGGTTTCGTAATATATTTTGAATGAGATAAGGCACAGAATTTGGACCGAAAGGGAATGGATCACGCCAGTCACCGGAATAATAGCAAATTACAAGCCTGAGATAAACAAAAACATTACGTAAATACGCCATAAATGCCCATATTCCCTCATTTCTTTGTTTCTCGTTTCTGTAAATTCACCAATCAGATATCAAAAACTTTCCCGCAGAAAATATTATCATATCCTCCATAAACGAATACAGATTAGTCGCCCGCTAGACTAGATACGACAGCAAAATTCTACCTAAAATATCCCATTATCAGAGACAGTATTCTGGCTGTTGCACTACATATTTTGATGCGTATGAAGGATCCTGACCGCTGAACGCTTTCTGTTTTCAGTTTATATCCATCCTTTTCAGATATCACTCTAACTGATTTTTATTAACCAGCTGAATCAAATAAATCAAAGGGGCGATCGGATTTAACTAGCTGATGCTGTAAGAATAGCCAAAGACCAAACGCGACTACTCGTAGTTGATTCCGTCTCCAGTCGAAATCGACATTCTCCAGTGCCATTGGCAAGCAGAATATTCTTCATCTCAAGACCACTTAACATTAATCATCAATTCCTATACTGTACAGTTCGTTTCTTTACTAATATCGCTACTAATGTGCCTTTGAAGACGAGCTTTTTTACTTTAAACAAACGCGCAATTCGCGCCCTATTCACTACGGCAAAGCACAAGACAATTTAAAATAAAATAAAAAATGTTCCTTTACTTGGCTATATTTTACTTGGCTATATTTCTGTACATATTAGAGAACTTTTCCAATCAAGTCTATAGCAAAACTCGGGACCAGAAGGGACTGCATGACACATGTCTCGAAGGGGAGACCATATTATTAGACTGTATAGTCACAGGCCCGTTGTCCTGTCGTTTGCAATCGGGAATTCCAACTTTGATGGGTAGGTGTTTACCGAAAGGGTTATGGCTTCTGCTCGTCCTGTTGTGCTTTGTGACTCAATTCAGCGTCCCACAGGCAGTCTCAGAATGACTAGCAATATATGAACGCCTTTCCGAAACCATATATATGATGCGGCTCGAGAAAACAATGAAAAACTCTGTACTCGGCATTTCAAGTTTACTCAGGTTTTGAGTAGTGAGAAAACAGAGAAAACAGCTGCAGTCGGGGTAATAACTACCGCTCAGAACGAAAATCATTGGTTACGAGGACCACGGGGCGTTCCAGGTTCCACTCGTATGGTGGGCTTGAGGTTCTGAACGGAGATCAAGTGTGAAGGGCTAAACGTTCGCTCGCGAACAGCTAAAGAAGTTATTCGCAGGGAGATAGACTGCGGAGATGGCAACATTTCCCATGGGATGAGAACAGAATAGAGTATGTTTACTATGCCACCTCTTGGGCGCTGGGCAAAAGATGGTAACCACGAATTTCATCAATTCAATCAGTACGGAAGATGACTTCAGCGGATTCTGCATCAAGACGTTGCGATCGTCCCTCTGAAATTAGGAAGCGAATGATGATTCTCATGAATAAAGAATAATTTCGCAGAAGTTCTACATTCATTGGTAAATTGTTTCAGATATCAGTTAAGGTGGCAGCATATGCACCATTCAGGCCAATCGTATCCCTTCGTAGGACTCCAATATACAAGTTGGCAAAGTTAGTGTTCGGTCGTCTCAATTATTTGGCGGAAGGCTCACCAGAAACCGTAGCATCTGTGAGTCAATTCCACGAGCGCATAAAACGCCTGAACTTAGATCCAGAAGAAACCATGGTATCCTTAAGTTTCGTTTTGCTCTTCAGCTCCATTCCACAGCATATACCTATAGACGTTTATCAAATACTAGCTGAACGATATGGGGAGAAAGACTTACCCCTAATGTCCAAACATCTGCTCGAGCTTCCAAGAGACTGACTTAAGGCATATTCACATTTGGTCGACACATGTACGAACAAATTAAAAGCGTTCCTATGTGCTCTCCTCTATCAGGCCTGATTACAGAAGTAGCCTTTCAACGGAACCAAACACTAACTAAAGTTCTGAACTAATTATGCCGACAACACCTTTATCGTTGTCCTAACAGCTGACTATGAAGCCCCCAGGGAATTAATGAACTTGGTTGACCGAATATCAAATTCGCGGTGGACGCAGAAGCAAATAACTAACAACCTTTACTCAACGTGTTTGTGTGCTGGTGTGCACCTGGACGCCTGCAAACTAGCGTCTATAATAGTCACCGACAAGAGAAAGATATTATACTTCAACAGTAAGCGTCCTCTGTCACACAAACATAGCTGTGCCAGCGCTCTAATCCAAAGAGCTGAAGCACACTGCAGCACGCCAGAAGATAAAAAATACTGGACGACTATAACTTTCACAGCCCCTTTACAGACCCTGGTTTTCCCAGCCACTTTACCGATAAAAGCAGACGCCAGGCAATCAGACGACGGCCAAAGGAGCAGCAAAACGAAGTCTGAGGGAAGCCAGCCCCTATAAAAAAGAGATCTCCAAGGCAGTCACTCGACTGCTGCAGTCCGTCAGAGAAGACACAGCCCATCGACCCCAAACAACAATCCGGCATCGATTAACGAAACCTAAGGACACGCTGACACCCTCTGAAAGGCAGCGATTGTCTTCTAAATGAGTTGCAGCGATGAGGACGGCAACTACGTTGGGAAAATCGGCCAAAAAATTGCTGACCCGCATACTAGGCGACAAATCGTCAACTCGGAATCTGGACCCAGGCTTTCAACTTGCAGATTACTTTGGAGAAACTGGACTTCCTTTCGACCTTCTGGAAGCTGCCATATTATAGCCAGAACAGCAAAAATATTTTCTTTTGCAGTCGGCAAAATCACGGTTAGCCAAGGATTTCGGTAACTCGGCGTTTTTGATCGTTTAAATTTCTCTTTCCTATGGTTAAATTAGTTTTGGTAAAAAGATAGTTGACCTACTTAGTTCTCTTTTGCCCATCAGAACGCATGAAGACTACAAAAAACGAACACTGTTCTGCTTCGGCTATAATGTACACTATACAGAGGCGGATTCTAATGTCGTTAGCCTTGAAATTATGGGCATGGCATCATTTATTACTAATTTGATGATGCTTCATTAAATCCATGTTTCCGGTGATAATGCCATTCCTGCCTATTACATTTATCTCACTTTTTCAGGCTGTGAAATTTCCTTTCCAGAGGTAAAGACGTATTTTAGTAACCATTATTTCCTACAGGAATATTCCCAAGTTATTCATTTCAAGCGTATTTCAAAGCTGCATTATTGAATATTACTTCGGCCCATTTTAAACACGATATCGACGCAATCTGTTTATTGGTTATCTCTGCTTCACCTTAGAAACGCTACATTCTGCACGCGAAAGATGTTTTCGGTCTTAACGCTTTGGAGTCATGAAATTGGGAAGAACTTTACCTTATATACTGTACCAGTCGGGCGTCGTTGTGCCCGAGTTAGTCTGCCGACAAAACATGCAGAGGTGGTAGGTATTTATACGCGCCTTGTGTGCGCTAATTGGTCCGTACAACAACTAGCACGCATCAAATGCTCATTAAACCTTACCGAAGATTCGCTCTGTCTAGCGGCTATAGCCGTGCAACCATCTCATCCGGCAAGCTAAACCGGATGGAAGTATTCGGTGTGTGCATCTCCACACCCCGTAACCAGACTCCCTGTCCTAGTTTACGCCTCCTTACTTAAAAAGTCCTGTGGAATGGGCGATATGCAATCTGGTAGGCAGTTCAGGCTAACTTGGGTCGCGTTCTCTTTAAACAGAACTGTAACACATGGTGGAGCTCGGCAACAGTTTGTACGTCTAAGCAGGTCAGTCTTAGTTTGGGACCGCAGGATAAATGCTTAGAATGGGCACCCATCGATAACCCCATTTACAGATATACCGAAGAAAATAAGGGACATATTTAGACAACATTAATGCTAGTGACTGATGCAGGGTGAATACAAGAAAATCAAGTAAACATTTATCCAGGCTTTTTGAAAGTCTCGACGTTTCCCGCCAAAATAATGGAATTCGGCAATTCGTTCCATCCTCTAGTCAGCCAGTGGGAGAAGAATTTGGCACGCACTTCAGGTTTGGCATAATTTATCCTCAATTCAAAGACTCGAATTGATGGACTCGAAGACTGGTCTTTTGCGCCAGTTCAAAGAGGTCATCAAACTCAAGAGCACAATCTAGTTTTGTGACAATCCTAAAGGCCGTGATTATGTCCCTTCTGGAATTTTTATAAGAGAGAGAAGATATTCTCTGCTTTCCCAGCCGCCTTTCACAAGGCAAGCACCTTAATTTATTAACCATTTCGGTTGCTCTCCGTCGTTCGTTCTTCAACGGGGTATCATCTTGTTTCGTTCAGGGACGTCACATCTGAGAGAAACAGTTTACTTTTGGCCTAAAAGCTTTTCAAACACTCGAACGAAAAGCTCTTCGTCAAAATTGAGGAATGATCTCTTGATCGCGCCTAGAATGCTTATGGCATTCTTTGATACATTGACGCAGTGAGAAGATGGGTTGAGAGGGAACGTCATCCACACACCGAGGCCTCTTAGCTCGCTGACAGATTCTAGTTGGTGACTTCCTATGAGGCAGTGATATTCAAATCTCAACAGCCCTGCTTCTGGGTCTTGGTCTCCATAAAATCAGCAGCTGAAAAAATTAGCGTCTCCTCCTTCCGCAGACTAACGCAGAACATAGCCTGCTCCTGCTCCTCCTACTCCTCCTCCTCCTCCTCCTCACGAACACCGACTTCCGCCTTCCCACTAGGAAGAATGTAGCGTGGATGCACCCAGCTCGCGGTAATGGTAACTGATGGGCTACGTTGCCGTTCGGAACCGAGACAGTAAAGACGTGCTAACGACCAAAGCGATCTCTGTCTCTGACGACTGAGCAGGTCCCCATATCGTCATCTGTAAGCAATCAGCTGGCTCACCGCCTGGAAATACTGGAGACCCCAAAGGGAAATGGTGCGAACTGCGGAACGCAATCCATTCCACCGCCATCGATGGTCTGAGTCGCGCACGTCGCCACCATCAAAACCAGTTTGGCGACAAGGACGAAGAAATCGCCAAAGTACTCTCAAAAAATAATAGGCCTAACAAAGCCTAGGTCAGCAGCGGGACCGACGCAAACAAAATTGTCTTCTTTGCCTCTGGAAGTCCGGTACAACGCAGACAGCCCGAGATGCATAAAACCTGTATAAATTGCCAAGCTGATAAGATGATGATCCACGCTGTCCTTAATGAAACGAACTATTTATTTACTTTTATCAGGATAGTTTACAGCCTCCGCACCAACAGAATCCTGCCACTGGAACAACATTCTTCAAAGAGGCATCTACGCTGTGGACTGAACATTTCGGAACCGTCTATCTACACATTCCGACGACGCTACTGACTGCCTCCGCCAAGAAGGGACGACGCCGGCATGGACCGTCCGTCTTCCCATCCTCTAACTATTAGAGACCTTCCACAGCACCTTGGCAAGAAAGCATTGGAATCCGACAAAATTCCAACCGACTCTTATAAGCATGGTTGGTGGACAGGCGCATGTTACTGTTCCAGGAGATATGGAGGTAGGGATAAGTCCTTCAGGACTCCAAATACGCCACGATCGCACGCATTTACGAACGCGAGGGCAACCGTCAACACAATGACGATTACCGAGGCATTTACATAACCTTTTCAGAAAAATCTTTGTCCACGTTCCCTTCGATCACCTAAATACACACTTGTACAAAAGATTTCTCCCGCAAGACCACTGCAGATTCCGAAGAAGTTGTAATACCGCTGACATGCTCATTGTCGCCGCCGGCTGCAAAACAAACCTCAGAAAATACGGATAAGTCTCTACGCTACCCTCTTAGATCAAACGAAGGCCCTCGGTGCAGTGAATCCCTACGGAACCAGTCTGTCCCTCCACTGACTTGGAGCAAATAGTAGAACTGCGGCTTGGCCCAATTCTACTGAATAACTTGGCCATAGTGGCCCTCAGGTTACCTCCATCACTCTGTTCACCGTCCCCGGCACAGTCCTGTGCGATGTGTTGCGCGGTTTCTCTCTATCTAATAATGCCAGGCAAGATGTGATGAGATGCTTCCTCCGCGTTGCAAAGTCTTGCCATGCTGACATCCGGGCTACTCAGTGCCTCATCGGCAATTGTTTCTTCTGATCCAGCAAGAACGCCGATATCTGACATGGGATCCATTCATGTTTGATTTGTTACAAAGCCAAAAACCGGACGGCACAACAAAAGCCCTGATTGGCACGTTTAGTAGATAAGTCACGCTTTGTACACCTATAAATATATCTATTATGTCCTTTGCCAACAACCCATGATTAGGACTATTTGCTAACTGCAACTGATCGATTTACGCAATAGCTCATCGCAACTCCCGTTTCAAATACGGCTGTGCAATATTTGACTACTCGTTCCGAAATCCACTCAAAAGCACATTTTAATTGTGGTGATAGTACTCAAGTAGGCACTAGTTAAACAAGTTATTTATCTATTATAATCTGACGTCACACCTACAAACCAGCCGACGCCTGTTAAGTAGGAAGTCGGCCCTTTTTTGAGTAAGTTGCCAGTCACACCCATTTGACGCATTTTGGACAGTCGCGGTCTGTGTGGGACTCCGACAAAGGTTTTCTGAAGTGAGTGCAGACTGAATTTACTGACAAATACATCTCTAAAGACTTTGTCCAGCTTTTCATTTATGTGAACGGGTTAGTGAGACAGGCTCGACCACTTCTAAATCTATGATGATCCGAATTATGCAAGTTGTTCTCCTAAACATGCCTCATTAGTTCCGTTTTTAATATTTTATATATAAGTTTGCAACGAATGCTTGTAATACTCACAGGTCTGAAATTATTTGGTTAGGTTCTTTTTCCCTTTTATATCTGGAGCTTAATTTTGTTAGTTCCCAGTCAGTAGGCAGAACCTCGGACTCCATCGAAATTTCGAAGATCTCGAAAGAGGGAGGGGCCACCTGATCTGCCAGTTCATTCAGAACTTTTGCGGATGGCATCCGGACCACGCGATTTAGTGGGTGGTATTTGTCCAAGGGTTTAACTTACTGAGTTTTTGCGAAAGCCATGGTGATATTTGCACTCTTAGATATAGCAATTTGCCGGTGCACTCCCTCGCCTAAAGAAGGCTTTTCGGTATGCACGGACATAAAGAAATCGGATAAGAGACTCGTCTTACCTGAGTTACGAGCTAACTTGTCCCCCTGATAATTCTTCAGACAAGGAACGGAATCCCGATTGAGTTTTTTTGTATTCATGTATGTGACGAACTTTTTCGGACTTCTTACTCCTTTAGCCACAGCTGATTAAAATCTGCTCTTTCTCTCCTCAGGAATTTCCCACACATATTTCGCTGTTTCTTAGATTTCGAAAGATGTTTTGATTGTTGAAATCGGACGTATCACCCCACCAATCTCCTTATATTCGGACATTTCTCTTTTTTGGATGTCACCCACTCATGTCGGGAGACGTATGATCGACTTTTAAGCGGTCAGCTGTTATCTACCGAGTACTAAACCGAGCTCGTAAAGATTCCTGGCGGCGTTAGAATCTGGCATATATGTGCTGCGGGAAGCCATCATGGCCAGTAGGATGTCATTGCTCAAGAGCTGGCTGCCCCAAGGTCATTCACTAAGAGCACCGAACCATTCCAGACGCACTGACCTGAAACCACTCAAACGAATTCCGCTCGGACAGACTCGCTTCCGCATAGGACAGCGGCTACCCATGCGCCACTTGACCATGCCACCCTCTGCAGCTAGAAACATAAGCCACTGGGACACCACCCCTCGGCAAATGCAACACACACCGATTAGAGACCGCTTGAGTTTGGCCCAAGAGCCTACAAAGCGGTTGTCACCACTGTCCCAGGGATTCTCAGGCGTAACGGGATGCGGTCAACACCAGCGCTGGCTTCACCAGCGACCACTGTCGCCTCAGAGGGCAACTGGGGTTTCTGTAAACAATAAACCCCTTATTCTAGTGCCACTTGTCCGTTCCTCCCGTATGGGATTTGACCAGACGATTGTAGCGCACGGACTACACACTCCCACCGTTTGGCTGCATCATATGCAGGGTTCCAACTTATCTCGTTCAGTAGTTTATTAGTTCTGAAATTATCCCTTTCCCATACATTTTTTCTCCTATGCTGATCGAAATTTGTGCACAGAAAAGTGACTGTACTCCCAAGCGAGAATGCAACGACAGCTTCGGTCCAGTGTCGTGCTGGAACTCAATCCAAGGGTATAGATATCATCCCTAGAAATGGTGAGATCGAAAGTGCTTAACTGCTGTCCATTGCGGAAATGCTTGTGAATTTTAAGTGTTGAGTAGGGAATCCATCAATGGCCAACGTAGGTAAGTTCTGTCCAAGTGAGTTTTCCGATGACATGCAAGGCATCGATTCCCGATCAATGTCCGAAAAGTGAAAATCTCCGAGTTGTTTTACGTGTTTGCTACCGCAGATTTGCTTCGCCTTAGTGATGAGGATATCAAGCATGTCCTGCCACCCTCCTGGGGCCTGCATATGAGGGAATGTGGCGGTCTGGTTGGGCCGGTAATCTAAATTAACAGCTAAAATTTCGATACCAATGATTCCTTTTTGCAAAGATCCGGTTGAGAACTATTTTATGCCCTTTGCGACATGTTCTGAGGTCTGGATTTTGTCATGCATGATGGTTTGGACTATTATTTCCTCCAGCTAACCTCCAAACCCCGGCGGTACGTTCCAGGTATCCCTCACAGCGTTTCAATTTTTGAAGTACAAATAGAGAGTTCAAAGGCGTTAACCTATTTCCCTCATATATACTAACTGACACTGACCGAATGTGTCACTGCTTGACTTATTGGTGCTCGAGTAAAGTAGCGTCCGACTCTCTTCAGGAATGGCGGTCGGTGGTCCATCGTGACCAGTTGAAAGAAATTTAAGTATCTCTGGTAACTTTTTTCACGGGAAATAGAAAAATGCGTACTGAGTATGACTAATTTTTGTCCGCATGCTGTCTAGTCGTGACCGAGTGTTTAGAAGCGCCGGCAGTTGAACGGGGTGTCAGTGATTCGAGTCAAGCCTCCGACGTTAAATTTCTGTCATATACAGTAATGTCGCTGAGAGTTGCGGCAAAATTTACACCAAAATGCATAAGATTATGACATGCGTCGGGTTTACCAATCTCTGGCATCTAAGCATTCAGAGGGCACTCAGAGAGCTATTGCTATAACGGCCCAGCCGCGCTTTAGAGGAGAAGGGGAGAGCCACCAGGAAGAGTAGTCTATTCCTCGCAAAGGCCTGATGGGTCTCGTATCCTCCGTCGCGGGACCGGCTGTTGGCCCGCGTGGGCGTCCGCGCGCCAGAGCGTCGTGGGTGTGAGTGAATAAGCGTCACGTTTGAGTCAGTCAGTGACAGCCTTGTCAGTTAATCGGGTAAAAGTGACGTCTGTGTGCGCCTTTGTTGGGCCAACCTCGGCGATAAATGCGCTCACGCTGGAACACTCGGAAATCACGAGCACAGGACTCCTATAGCGGCGTGGGTGCCAGAGACAGGAGACTTCATCTCATCTGAATTGTTACATATACGGCTTAAATTGACAAACAGCTGGTTTACTGAGAAGAAGGAAAAATTCTCCTCGGGACAAAATTCATTATTGTATGTAAATTTGAAGCCGAAACCGACTTAACATTCGAAGATAGCTTATATAAAAAATTCCGTTCCCTATTGATGTCCGATCGACCCGCTGACGGAAGACAGATATCAAAAGCAACATTAAGTCTTTCTTCGTAGGAATCCGAAATAAACATAGTCAGCTACTTCGTGAAGGTACCGATGGCGATTTCCTGAGAGCAACAGGAAAGGAAAATAATATCGCAAATATTTCGATCTGCGAAAACGAAGGTTAAATGCACTTTCTCAGTTTATTTCGACGAGGTGTAAATCCAAGCTGAGATGACTGACAGGAATATTAAAACACGGGAAGTTCGCAACGTCTTGCTCGCTCACCAGACCATGACAGAATCAGCGCACCCGGAAGTCAATGGACAGGTAAAACAGTCAAGTGGCACTATGACCAACCTCTTGAGGCGTTTGTGGAAGACTATCATCCCCACAACCAGGACGTTCTGTTACCGTTCCCAAGACTTTTATGGGAACCCCCAACCTTCCTCCACGCGCTACGCCCGTTCTTTGTGGTTACGGGCTGTCCCTTCCGTCTACCAGCGAACACTCATGTTCACACTTAGTCCAGGGACACCTGTACCGCGGTTCATTATATGGTAGTGTTCCAAGAATCATTACGGCTTGCACCTACTTCAGCACGCACACACATACGTATCGCCTTTGACAGGCAAGATGAGCACTTTGATGGGCACATGCATACCATCTCCACCAACCTGGCGACTTAGGGCTACACCATCTAGCGGTCTAACGCGCTGGTATTCCGGTCAGATTCTTGCGCCCTTGGGAAGCAACCTTCGTTCTCGTGGACGTCACGCAACATGTTACTTCTATTATCTGTGATACTTAAACCCACAAGTGCATTATCTTTACGGTGCACCTTGACAAACAAAGCCCTACAACGGCATCCTCCCATAGCCACCTCTCACGGCCTGCCTGTTCTCCACCTCACCCGGTTGTGCAGCTCAAAACTGTGGAGGAAGTTTCCACATGCCCTACGCCCTCGTCCGCATGTCTGCGGACAGGGTTTCATGAGAAGGGGACGATGGTAGCGAACAGATATTGCGAGTAACTAATGTGATGGACGGTCTTATGATTGTAATATCCAGAAAGACTGATCAAGCTGAGTATGTGTCAACTTAGTTAGAAAAAAATGCGGTACGACCTACTGCGTAAATTCCGCACAATCCGCCGTCATGATTTTTTGCTTAAACCAGGAGATTTCTTTTAGTATGCGCACATGAGTCATCCGTACAAAGCCAAATACGAGTGTACGCACCCAGGCTAATAGAATTTAACTTTCATCTGGCCGGCAGTCCGATCGAGAATCTTAATTCCAGGCGAAATATTGATTTAGAATACCATGGTTGTGTTCAAAAAGTAATTGAACTGTTTGACTTTGATAACCGATGTTTGCCACTGCAGGACTATCTACGGCCAGTCACAAACTTCAATATCTCCTTTGATCTCATGTGTAAGGCATCACCCTAGGCATCCACCTACGGCCGACATCAGCATTCTCTGACGTCCATAACCAGTAGGATATTCATGACCCCGAAACTACGTAGAGCGATGTATTGGTATTTGTTGTGCGATCCGTTTATTTTCTCATTTCGCAAACACTATGCTTTAAAAGACTAATTTCATTTAGAACAAACGTTCTTTTCTTGTACTATTGGCAAAGAAGGGATCCGAAACAAGCGAAACTAATCGCGATCGGAATATATGAGTTTGTTTCAAGTGCCCTCCTATGTTATAAGGAAACTTAAGAGGCTCAAGATATACTATAACTAACCTCTTCTATTCCATTTTATATTCGCGTACGACTGCGTCAACTCACAGTTAGATTGACCGGAAACACGCACCTGTTAAATATGTATTGCTGCACATCCTCCTCAGCTTATCGTTCAGTTCAATTATTCAAAGGATTTTCTTTCGTTATTATCATACACCTGGAAGCCGGAAAAGCTAGAATATCCTTTCGATGGAATTACCAATCCTGTTCAAATTTAGCCGACAACAATGACCTATAATTCCCAAAGAAGAGGAACTTACCGGATTATGGACGCGATGCCCCACCAGGCGAGGTAATAATTATACAAACATACCATTTTAATTCGTGGAGTTTGTTTTGATTGATCAATTGAATTCGAATACCATGCCTCGAGTGGCTGCGTCAACAGCGCCATGCACAACAGATCAAGACGGCCGATAAGATTGTGACCGGTTGTGGCATAAAATGCCAGCCTCCCAGTTTGCTGATAAAATATAAGCTCAACTGTGCAACAAAAGTGCATGTTATACGTTTACGAGAATTTTCTAATAACGTTTCTATACTCGAATTCAGCGAGAAACTACGTAGTAAAAAACGACATAAAGATCTGCTGGAGCAAATTCCCAAGACTCAGTTTATTCGTCTTCTTTCGATTCTCAAAGACCTAATAAATGGACGGAACCTCGAAGAGTCCTTAAAAATTAATGCTGCCCTGGAGAACATCTCCTCAGACGAAGACTTAAATAAGGCCGACGACGAAACGCTTGAAAGGTTAGCTGTCACAGTGGCCATTTCGACAAAGTAATATTTTTTCTATCTGCTATAAAAGCGTCCCTTTCAGGTAGTAACATGCGTCTTTCATTTTCAACGCAGAATTAAGTCCAGTATGCTTCAGTCGGCAGATTTTCTGCTCGAAATGTACATTCTGTTCACTCACTGCATCCTTAGGGATGCAGAGTATGTCGGTTAGTTGATATCTAATAGATATCTACTCTATATATTTTGCTACTAGGGTTGACCAATGCTACTTTGTCTGAAGGCATATTTGCCGAGTGTTTTCCTACCCAGTATCAGTAGTTTCTTCGTATAGCATGCGAAGAATAAAACTGATATTTTCTCCAATTTTTTTCTAACGTGTCTGCAAATTCCAAAAAATAACATGTTTTCGGCCATCCCTTTTAAAAATATGAATTTTCAAAGTGAGAATTATCTCGTAGTTAAACAAGTCAGGGTTAACATTTCTATCACTAACAGCCCGCCAGTACTTTCAAGATTCTTGAGTCATGATCTAGTTACACTTGTTTTACACTGAGTTATAAGCGGGCGTTCGGACCTGAATAACGTAAGAAAGAATCTGAATGCAATGTTCTGCCAATGTTACTTCGAATTATTTGTCCTAATTTTACTACAGGAAGAAGTTGGTCATGGAGGAGACCTTCGAACGAAATCGAGTCCGGCCAACAGATCCTGATTTCGAATACGACATTGCGGTCGATTTTCCAAAACAAGTTGAGACCAGTGGATGGGACTCGGACTTTTCCGACTTCTGATCTACAAAAATCTGCAAACTGTCTTTCAGACTTCAAATTATTAAGTTATGTTAAAGGATTTTAAAGTGTTATTTTAATCAGAAACTGAAATCGAGCTTTTTCTGATCCCTTTTTGAACTGTAGGCGAATCCAAAGAATGGGCCCTATAAGAATAATGTGCTACACGTCAAATTCTCATCTTACTAGTCTCTAAATGTGCGAGCAATATTCGGGACAAACTGCCTGAAGAGCAAAGTAATAACGTTTGACCAGACTGGTGTATAAAGTCTTGATTGTCAAAGGCTTGGTAATCGTTATTCATGTGTGCAGAGGAAAATGTGACTTACTGTGCCACAAGTTGATTAGCACCCATACTGACAAGTCTCACAGGCTAGTATTGGTACTGTAATTGCGTAAACAACCAATATTGCTTTACTGGCATGATTAGCCATCATACAAATGATCTCGACCTCTGCGCACGGTTAATTGCTCCAACTAATTTGGAGGTTAACGAAGGGCCCCATTTCTGGTTTCGTTTACGAAAATTGAAGTGCAGCATAGAAAAGTGGATGAAATTACTATAAGCAGTTCAGCTGCTCTGATTTCGAAAAAAAATAGGATCCGAAGTCATTTGGAAGACAGGCTATCTTTCACTGCTTATACTCAGACAGGAGTTTTCACACTGCAGTAGAGATTTGTATAAACAAATCATAGTTTATCGAACAGCCTCTGCAGAATGTGCATATTTACTTGCGAGCCCTTAAAAGCGAATCCTGCAGAAAATTAAGATACGCGTTTCCATTACAGAGGCAGTAAAACTAACACTTATCAGAAACGCAAGACAGTACTTTTTATTATAATATGAGGATTTATAATGAGTACAAGGCATGCGGTTTTTTCCACATATAGGCTAAATGAAGAATGATGATAAGAGTCATTCGAAAAGTGAGATGTGTCTGTGGTAAAAAAGAGAAGAATTTACATGTAAACAGCGCTGGTGAAATGCAATTGGTCATCATTAGTTGACCTGA